ATCTACATTGGGCAACTTGGAGATTAAAACATATCACACAAAGAAGTGAAGATTGAAATTTATTTAAATATTTTGCTTTGAATTTAACCCTCTCCACATGGGTCAAAGGCCATGTCATCGTGTTTGTTGACTCGCATTCAAAATTTTATTGAGCTACTATTTTATGAATTTATGTCAAGTTTGGTATCAAACTGTTGATTATAATTCAAATTTTAGTATTATACATTACTGAATTTCTTAATTTAAAAGTAAATATTAAAAACACACACCTAAATATCAATTTTTGTGTGTCACAACCGATTTACTTAAAATTTTAAAAATTTTACCCCTACTTTTACAAATCACTGTAGTTATGTTAGTCTGAGCCTAACCACTGTTATTGCGTTTGACTTTCTTGTTTCAATACTTTTTTGTAGCATTAAAACTTATGTTACTATAGCTAGCTAGGTTATGTATATATATATATATCAATCCCTACTTGTCATTATAGAATTTAAATGTTTTTTATTATACTTGTACTTTATTATTAATAACCAATAGAAAGACAAAGTTTTAATATATCAAATGACGTATTACATTGTTATTTTCAGTATTGTCTATTTTGTCTTCAGTTTGAAAGGTTCTCTTGTTTAAAAATGAAGAGATACAATGTTTTTTGTAATCAAAATTGTTTAGTTCATGTTACAAAATGATTTGATTTCATATAGCTAAAAGTAAAACTCATTAAAATTACTTGACATTTTTGTACTGTACAAAAATATAATAATTTTGATAACAATTATCAGAAATATCAATTTATCATCCACTGCTAGTTTCATTTAGTATATCTTAAAGTAAACTTTGACATTTTGTTTAGAGCTCTCAATATGTGAGTTGAATAAATAAGTTCCCAAGTTTAACATTAAGCTACCTGCTGCATGAACGGGGGTACGGCCTGTGACTTGATCATGGACAAAAAGACTGGCACCCGCTGACAACAGAACTCGAACACAGTCAAAGTGCCCTTGGAAAGCAGCTAGATCCAGTGCTGTACGACCCCAGGTGTCCACTACATCTATCAGCTCCAAGAAAGTATTTGTCAACAGACTAAGACAAGTTGGATGCCCATTATATGCCTACATTAATATCAAATTCTTAACATTAGTAATTACAAGATGAAAAAAAAACATAAATAACAAAAAATGCACCTAAAACTGTTTGGCTCAATTTATTACCACTATTCAGAAAAATCACAAACATTAAAAATTATACTCAAATTAAATGTTATAATTTTTTAATAAATGTTTTATTAGAAATTTCTGTAACATAGTAATGGAGGGGGTCACAAAAGCTAACAGTAATAGACATTGCTATACAACTGACACACTGCTTCTAATGCACAAATGACTTAAGCTTTATAGCTAGAAATAATAAAGGTTAAATGTCTTTCATCTCAAATGAATTATTTTGAAAATATTTATCATATTAATTTAGTTTGTAAAGTTTTGTATCTTTAATAAAATAAAAAAAAATTCATGCCAAAATCACAAATGACGCATAACAAGTCTAAAAACTCATAGGTCATTACGTGTAGTAAACAGCCCCTCCCCCCACAAAATTAAGATGTTATCCAGCTAGCAATAAGTTATATGATTTAAAAAAAACTGAAAGTTAATAAACAATACAATGTCCAAATTGATATGCCACTTACCGCAAGATGTAATGGAGTGGCACTGACAGGATCTAACTTGCTGCCTATTTTTGGATGTGTACCCGTTTCAAGAAGCTTATTAAAAGTAACAAAATATATCAAAAAACTATATAGCTTTAATGTTTACTCCTCATAAATAACATTTTATGTTGTTTGACCCTATAAAAAAAAAATAATTAAAAATCACATATATTGAAGTTTACAGCTGAAGAGACCCTGTACAGCAGTTCTGTATATAAACTAAATATACCCTAAAGAGTTGGGGTAAATCACATTTTCACCCTTCCACATGAAACAACTTACTTTTAACACTACATCATAAGATGGGTCAAAGTGCATGTCACGACCCTTTACACATTCAAAATTTAATTAAACAATTTTATTATCAATGTATGTCACTAAACTTGATATCAAAATGTAGTTTGTAATTTAACTTTTTTAACTGTTATCTAAGTTTTAACTTCTTAACTCTTTCAGCATGTGCTCAGTCCCTGGGTCCGACCTCGTAACCATTTTTGTGCTTATTGTTTTCATGCTATAACTTTTACGTTGGTAAGCGAATATTAACGAAATTTGGCAGTTTACCAGTAAGCATTACAATGCTTTCATACACAAAATATCAGATTTTTTTATTATTAAGTATAAAGGTTTGTTAAGCAATGTTTTTCTGATCATTTTCAAATTTCACATGTAAAATCTTTATAATGTCCAGATAGTTATCAAATGTTTCTTATGAAAAAACTTTATATTCTATCTGTTATTTTCATTAATGAATCTCTGTGATTTTGACCAACCTCGTAACAACCATAAAAATTAGGAAATAGATATAGATTACGCCTTTTTTGTTCTAGAATGACTACAAATTATAACACGAAAACACAAATATATAGACTAAATAGCTTAAATCTCATAACATTATACATTTATTCTATTGACCTTTCAGCTTTGCCTGGCTAACAATACAGAAGTTATAATAACACGGCACACATGCACTCATGTCACAGATCCAATAATATAAAAATGACCTGTCTTGGCTGTGTTTTAGTGGACTAGTATTTTGTAAAATACAGTCACATTTCAGTTATAATATATATGTATATACATTATTACTATTTACAAATAAGTTCTTAAACTTATTTTTCTTAAAGAAGTAAAGCAAACAATTATCTCTTCTAGTTACGACCTTCGTACTCATTTGCTGCTTGTCGTAGGTTGCTAAGCCTTATAAAATTTTGCATGTTGAGGATGTGAAACGAAATAAATTTCTTCAAGTTTTACATATACAGTTGAAATAACCATAGAATTCCACTACAATTTATCAAGCTTAGTAACTGTATTTGGGTCTAAAAAAATATGAAATTTCAAGCAGACTAAAGACTCAACTTAGCAGCTTGAAGTTTTGTATCAAAAGAACCAGATGACATTGTAACACTCGAAAATGGCTGAAAAAGCCACTAGGGGGACATTCTGAGCTTTTGATCGGTTATTCACATGTCATAGACAGAAGTGTATATATGGGAGTGTTTCCAAAATTGGAAAGAGGTGAGTGGGGCCACTGTGTTTGATTCAGTACATGAGCGATATCTCAGCAAATAGAAAAGACAGGAGGTTCTTTTTATATTCTAGTTTGTCAGTATCAGTAATTTGAGTTCCTAAGTTGTATGAAACTATAGACTTCACAAACATCTAATTTGAACCAGTGCTGCATTCAACATACCATTTTTGTAGTTTGTATTTTCTTGTTTCAATACTTTTTGTAACATTAAAACTTTCTATATTACTACAACTAGCTAGGTTACATATATATATATCGATCCCTACTTGATTTATAAAATAAAATAAAAATTATTGGACTTGTTTATTTCCTTTTCATTAGCTATATTTTTGTGCGCCAGCAATACCAAGCGTAGGGCGTTGCGTATTCCCGAAATTGAAATTATTTTAGGCAGGATTAGAGTAAAATAATCTATGAGACCGTGGGCGTGGTCAAATACATCAATCAAAGGGGTTTTTGACCTCGTGAGTCCAAAACTGTAATTAAATCTCAAATCGGTCAAGAGATGACGAGCTATGAACTAAAAGTTTGCACTTGAAACAAACTCAGAGCCGTTCGTCCGCGAAGTAAAAAAAAATAGTAAACAAATAAGAAAAGTATTGTGATTACTAAGTCGAATAAAGGTAATAGTATTGTAATCTTAGATAAGGATGATCACATAAAGAAAGCCGAAGAAATTGTGGCGGCACTAAATTTGTAAAATTTAATCATGATCTTACTGACAAAAGAGAAGGTGAATTAGAAAAGTTTTTGTTAAAATTAAAGAAGGAAAATTTTCTTAGTGGAAAACAGTACTTTGACATTATAATGTTACGTCAGCGGGGGTCACGTGACCCTGGTAACACGTCATATTCCCGAAGGTTCCTGAATGCTCTAGCGTTTATTAGATTTCGGTATTCTTTTATATATAAGACGGTCAAGACGTGACGGCAACAGTATGTAATGAGTAATTGAACTGCGGACAGAGAGAGGGTATTGTTGAGTCGAGCACGTGAGACGTTCGTTGTGAATTATAGCGTTTGGTATAGCGTGACTGTGAAAATTAAGTGTATTGCAAAGTTGTATTCAGAAAGAATAAACCAGTTTTATTTAAGAAAAGACTTGTGTCGGTAAAGTTTCTTCGGAAAGAATTTCTACAGAAAATTAGCTAACGACCAGAGACGTAACAATACCATCTAGAAATTCTGATAAAGCCTTCCAATTTGTACAGTGCCTAAACAATATACTAAACTTCTCTTTTTGGACAAAATAATTTGTAACAAAGATGGAAAGTTCCAATGTGTACATCATAAGAAAACATTTACAGGTTAATACTTTAATTTTGAAAGTTTCATTCCGAATGTATTTAAGAAAAAACTTAGCTAAAGCATTGATTCATTATACATTTAAAATATCTAGAGCGTACGAAGGTATGCAAAAATAATTTGTTAACATCAAGGATTTTTTTGTTTAAAATACATTGCGTATTGAAATGACTGATAAAATACTTTGTGAATATTTAAATAAGAGAAACTTGTGTAATATTTGTCCCATTGAAGTGTTTAGATACCCTGTTTTTGTTATTGGTTTAACTTTTAAGGGTAAATATATCTCAGTTATTAAGAATCAACTAAGACAGATTCTTCGTAAGGTATACCCACAGGTATAACTTTTTTTTCACATTTAAGGACCATATTTCTATGTTAAAGTGGTCCTTAGTAGTTTATAAATTTACTTGTCCTTGCTATCGGCAAGGTTATATTGGCTCTACGAAAAGAAAAGTAATAACACGCATAAAAGAACACTCTAACTTCAGATCACCCACCAAATCTAATATAGCTGAACATGCTTTTGGAAAATGTGGCGTAGTTATCACATCCAATATCCCTAGGCTCCTAGATAGGACCAACGATGAAAAAAGCTTCTGTATAAAAGTATACAGGTAATGAGGCCTGAGATAACTATTGTTGAATTGTCAGGTAGATTACTTCTAAGGCTTTAAAACATAATATTTGCAAAATTGACTGTTTTTCAAAAGCAAAATATTTTTATTGGTTAAGATTAAGACCAAAGAAATATATATATAAAACTCTAAAGAGGTCTCATACAAGAGAGCTATGAGCGAAAAAAACATATAAAAACAACGGATATGTACATAATAATCGTTTTGTGGTGGCCGGAAATAATGTGACAGGAAAAAAGTCACAAAATGTTTAATATCCAAACACAATGTAAAGTAATACAACAAAAATGGCGTTTTTAAGTTATTTATTTATTACAATAATAGCATGCTGCATGATATGTAACATTAAATGAAAGTACATAACCTACACACATTAATAACACAACTTATACAAAATCATGTTATTACATGTATATTCAATGATATAAAAATATTGTTAACTGGACAACTATATTTATATATAATGCAGAGCCACGTGCATTCTTAAGGCATTTACGAGGTCAATCGTCACATGAATGAGTAGAATAATTCAATAATTTAACTTCTATGAACTTAAAAGAACTTATAAACATAAATTTTCATATTTTGACTTCTGACTTTTTCTCTGTAATTTATTTTCCACATTTCGTTTTGTAATCCTTGCAATTGACCCTATACATTTTTATTAGCAATCGCAAAATTCTGCTGAAACATTAAAGTATGCTTATGTTTTCTAATCTGGGAAAACAAATTAAGCTAAAATAATTTAACGAACATTTGCTCCTTCATGCCTTTTTATTTTAAAAAACTGCTTTAACTAGCTAGAATAAAATACGGAGAACACATTAATTTTGAGCATGTGGAAGGTAATTCACCTAGTGAAAAACTGATCTTTGACGTATTTTAAAAAACTGCTTTAAATAGCTAGAATAAAATACGGAGAACACATTAATTTTGAGCATGTGGAAGGTAATTCACCTAGTGAAAAACTGATCTTTGACGTATTTTAAAAAACTGCTTTAACTAGCTAGAATAAAATACGGAGAACACATTAATTTTGAGAATATGGAAGGTAATTCACCTAGTGAAAAACTGATCTTTGACGTAT